ATGTCTTACCTGTGTCAGCATGCTGGGTTGAATCTGAAGGGGTTGCGTGTTCTGGTTCTGCTGGACAACAGGAACACTGTTCTCCATCCTGACAGGATAGCTAGAGGATTTACTAGAAGACGGAAGCCCTTCAAGAAAAAAAACAAAAGAGTGTCTGTACAAATTTTTCAGAGGGTTTTTCAAGGATGGGGAAGCCTTGCATTATTGTATCAAATTAATAATTATTCGTAAAACATCTTTCTGAAATTCTGAATGACTGAATGACCAATTCAAGGCTGAAGAGTAGAGGGCGCAACATGAACGCAAGAACAGAACACAGGAAAAGAAACTTGGCAAATAAAAATGAAATAGACGTGATGCTTAACTTAAGTCATTTGTGGTTAAATTATCGAAGGTCAGCAGCAAAAACCTTGGTAGATTAAGTGACAATTAAATCCATAAATAATTTTTGCGACTGTTGAAGACAGGATGTGCAAATGCAATTTTTGGGTGTCAATTATCACTTCTATGTGCTTGCGCAATATCAAAATGAGTCTTAAAATGTTACACAAATGAGATGACTCAATCTATAATAAGGGATATTTTTCATTAACGTGTTTTTCTTTTCTTTTTTTCCTTTTTTTAATTACACTGGATAAGAAAGAATAAAGCCTTTTCAAGGCCAATATCAAAATTCTAGCAAAAGTCCTAACCTTAAAAGACGGGTTAAAAGTCAAGCACTTTCAAAACTCTGTATGTAGCCTGAAATGAGCATCTTAATATTTAGGACCATTTAACCAAATAAAATACCAAATAAGTCCAAAATTAACTGCTTGCATCCCAGTTTAATTCCACCATGTGACGTCTCTGAGACAGCCTATTCATCAAGAAAATAGTTAACCAATGTTTTAACTACAACTGGATGGAGTCTGGCTTATCGAAGGGACATAAATCACCCACAATGCACCCTGCTCCAGCTCACCTTGGATAGTGGTGGGGGGGCAGACGATGAGGGTTTGCTGGAAAGGTTCGGTCTGAGCACACAGCTGAGTGGGGCGGGTCTGCAAGGGGATGCTGGGTTGGGCCAGGCCTGGGATGTTTATGGTCGCCTGCTGGTAAAGTGCCGGTTGGTAGTTAAGAAGAGGAACAGCTCCACCAGCGGATGGAACCTGAGAACATTTCCAACAACGTTAAAGACTGATGGAAATCCTTATTGCATGTGTATTTTTAACCAGGTGGGTTTCCCCTCACCTGGCTGTGCTGGTTCAGCTGGCTGCTGAAGGTCACAGTCAGGTTTCCTGCAGTTCCAGGAACAGCGTTAGCAGCAAACAGGGCTTTCCCACTGTCAAAGCTACTGTTCCTTCTCTTGCAGATATCCATGTTCTGGAAACACGACTTCACACTACAAAAATATAGGATATGAGAACAAATTTAAAACACATTTCTTCAAATTAACCAGTGCTAGAAGTCCATGTCTTCGAAAGGACGTACTGTGAGCTGTGTGGGAAGTTCAGCAGGTGGCTCATGGTCACAAACGGATGTGCCAGGGTCTTTGTGGGCATAATTCTTTTATCAGCATCCAGTCTCAGCATCCTCTTCAGCAGGTCAATCAACTCCCGACGGTCCGCCTTCTCCGCCAACATGTCCGTCCCTTCTAAATGAGTAGGCAGATTGACCTGGAAACCAAACAATGCAATCAGAAAAAGTTAGACTGGTCTATTAAACTAATAACACGTTCCATCCAATGCATGTATTTCTAATTACCTGCATCATGTCGTCTAAACAATTGAAGATGTATTTTCTCGCTTCTTTTGACTTGATGCCCATTTCGGCCTCATGCTCAGATGGGGTCTAGAAAAATACACAAGTCTTAGTCTAGTTCAATATTAACCAGCCTTGTTTGAATAAGAAACTATTCAGTCATTCAGCAAACAGTTGCTTATGTTTTTAACTCCCTAAAAAACATACAAGTATGAGTACTGACTTTTAATCTCCACAGTGGGTAGCTGGAGTCTGGTCCTCTGTTGAAGAAGCGGCTTGTCTTTGTGCCAGCACTCAAGAGATACTCAGGAGGCAATCCCTGTGTTTGAGAAATGTACCGAATCTGGAGGGGGCAATCGGGAATTGTCAAGGTTAGTACAAAGACTAGGAGGATTTTGGGTAAATTTCTGGGACCATAAATGATTTCTGCTGTCGTAGGGTAAAATCATTCAGTCTTTGATTGCCTATTGTGACATGTTCACAGATGGCCAATTAATGGTCTTGGCGATGATTAGATGCTCTCTTTTGGACTACAGCCTTAAACTTGAGAACGCGAGTGCAGAATGACGCATCCGATGTGCAACCGGCTGTCAATGCTGAATCATGGCTAGATGTCATGGCTACAATTTATCTTCCAGTCTGGCATGAAAGACCGTACATGTCACACAATCTGCCTTGTCTAAAAAAATTTTCACAAATGCTAATGTTGTCACGCTGGACTAAAGCCTCCTGAGTTTGCTCACACAGGATATAACAACTGCCTCAAAAAAGCATTGTACTTTTTGGGGATTTTTTGTGGTGTTCCTGGTCCAAAATGACTGGCCTACAAAAACTGTGAATACAATTGTTGTTAGACTTTGATTACCAAATATTGGATTCAATCTTGTTTTATTTCAATTAGCAAAGATGTTGGACTTCTTTTTGTAAATGACTGATCTCAGGCCTCACTGATCTGAACTTACGCACCTCAGTTTTTAACATGAGCCACAAATAATGCTTTATAATGCCCCTCTCAAACACGCAGGTGCATAAAGCGCAGATCAATAAAGCCTACAACCAATCAAAAGGACTGTACAATATTGCCACACTGCTGCGACTCAACAACATGAATACAGTGCATTTTACAATGAGCCTCATTTGCACAGAAAGGAGGCATCTTTATATATAAAATAATTACTTGATCAGAACATATAGCGCTTGCATGAAGTGCCACAGACACAAACACTAAGGAAACAAGTATAGAAAATGCACAGTTGTAGATCTCTTTAAATGACAATTGAGATAGAACTGAGAGGGTTGAGAGCTAATATTTTTTCTGATAATAACAATAAGATAACATGTGTGACCTGGTCATATTCTGAAGCTCCTGGATATAGCGGCCAGCCCAGAAAGAGCTCTGCAATCACACAGCCCAGTGACCACATGTCAATGGCTTCACAGAACGGCAGACCAAGGATGATCTCAGGGGCTCTGAGGATAGAAAGCAGAAGAAAACTACACTTCAATACCATAATCTATGCACGTAGGCTCCTTTTATAAACGTGTTTAGGAGTCTATCGGGTGATTATTACAACATCATAATCTCATAACTGTGGGATGTTATATCTACTGAAGGGATGTGTGATCAATATACATGTACAATTACAGATAATCGCTCACCTGTAGTAGCGAGACTGGAGGTAAGTCGAGCAGACGGCTTTGGAGACGTGACTGGCTGACCCGAAGTCGATGACTTTTACTCTGTAGGGCTGCCGGATGGGGTCCACCAGCATGATGTTCTCAGGCTTCAGATCGGCGTGGATGAGACCCAGGCTCTTCAGCTTCATCAGGGCCGTGGCCACCTGCTGCAGGATGGGGCGGATGTGCCTCAGGGGCAGTGGGCTGAACTTACTGTGCTTCAGGAAGTCGTAAAGGTTCTGCTCGAGCATTTCAAACACCAAGCACGTGTGGCCCTTTTGCTGGAAACACTCGTAGGAGCGGACGAAGTTGAACTCGTCAGCATTCTCCGCGCTGAGCCGGTTCAATATGCTCACCTAGAAGAGATATTAAGGGTCAATTACAAATAAGAGCACCCACAATAAAGAAAATGGGAAACAATCTCTTCATTTAGTTGTGCCAGGTTTATAGAAAGTAATCTTTGTATTCACGTTGGCTTCATATGAATTTGAATAATCTGTTGATCACATGATTCAACACAATTTTACAACCTCAATTAACTTTTCTTTGTCCGATATATCATATCTGTCCTTGACAATTGTGTGGTCACATTTCCTATTGCCCTGTGAATTTTTGCCGGTGAAATCCAGTCATTTTAAAAGGGAATTTTGCATGAGGGCAAAAGAATTCCCTATGCAAATTTCACAATGGTTCAATTGGTTGCATTCATTTGTTGCACTGACCAACAGAAGCTGCTTGGTTTGAAAGAGAGCTGTGTTTCATGCATCTACACTACTGACAATAGACCGCTGACCTTTTATTTTTGCATGCAAAATTTCCCCTTTGTGACCACACCTTTAGTCAAAAGCGCCTGCAGAGGCCCCCTCTATCATATGTCCTATTTTGGGGGGTTTTTCTGCATGTTGGTTACACAATACGCAATTAATTTAGTGGATGGATGTTTTTCAAATGCGGTAAACAGTTTAATAGTTTTAATAGTAATACATTTTGCCAAACTAATTATAGGGTTAGTTCGCCCCAAAATGAAAACTGTCATCATTCACTCACCCTCATGTCGTTCTAAACCCATAAGAAATTCATTCATCTTTGGAACACAAATGAAGATATTTTTAATCAAATCTGAGAGATATCGGTCCCTCCACTGAAAGTCTGTTCACCCAAAATGTTCATAAAACAAACCCATATGAACTGAGTGGTTTAATCCAAGTCTTCTGAAGAGACACGACTGCTTTATATGATTAACACATTTAATTAAATGCTTTTATTCACATATAAACATTGGTCATTGAGATTAACAATGTTTACAACATTCAAATTTGGTCACAGAAGCTCAAACATGTTTGCTTGACCCTTGACTACAAATGAGGTTCATTCTCGTGCGTCACGCAAGTACGGCTGATCTTCAGTTCATGTTCGCTGATCAATGTTTATATGTGAATAAAAGCCTAAACTAAATATTGTATTAAAGGTACAATATGTACGTTTTCAATGCTAGAAGGCACGCATTCAAAACAAACAAAGGCGTAGTTTGATGATGTGTGGAATCATGGGCGTTGTAGTCTTCATCCACACACAGCTGATGCAATCTGACGGGGCTCGGGCAGAAATCATGTTCATGGACAAGCTAATGTATTCAAGATTTATTAACATCGTAGTATGAAGCAGAGTGAGGCGGAAAGCCGTCGAAGCGAAACGAGGCAGCTGAAGCAATTGCTAATGAGAGCCAAGCGCGACACACGCCCCGAAAGCAGCGGAGCTTTTATTATGCCACACTTTAGCGCTTCCGCTGCTTCCGGTCGTGCGTATGTGGGGTAAAGCAGCGCTGTTTCATCGTACTAGACACGTTTGAAAGTTCTGTTTTAATGCTACTCTGTGCGGTCGGCACCGGTCTATTAAAACACACAACATATTAAAGCGTCTTTGGTGTTTCCATGTTTTCTACAAAACCGGAAATCGAGGAGTTATGACGTCATTGGCAGGCGACACGATGACACTATGGACACGCTCCGTGTCACTAGTTAAAATTGCTTATTTCTCTGGATTTAAACATTCTTGGAAACATTTGGGATAATGCAAGTACACAAGTCAGCAAAATATATAACACCGTTCTAGTGGTTTTTGGATATTTTAATAAAAAAATCTTTAAACCTCTCAGTTCATATGGATTAATTTTGTGGATCTCTTTATGAAAATTTTGAAGCGTTAGAGTTTTGGGTGAACAGGCCTTCAGTGGAGGGACAGAAATCTCTCAGATTTGATTAAAAATATTGTCATTTGTGTTCCAAAGATGAACAAATTTCTTCTGGGTTTGGAACGACATGAGGGTGGGTGAATGGTGAATTTTTTGATTTAGGGATGAACTAACCCTTTAAGGACATCTTTTAAGAGTTTTTTCCCTTTATGCCCCTTCCAAATAAATAAATAAAATCTCAAAGTGAATTTAATTCAGAAATTAAAACAGGCTCATTATAGAATTAACTATTCAAGTCACTGCACGTAATTAAAATTTGTATATCCCTGAATATATTAACTGACAGATAGGACAAAATGAGCATAATGTAATTTACTTATTAACCCTAATAGCTTGAGGGGGAACACAGGCAAAGTCATATTTAGTTTCATCATGGAGTAAGAAGAAAAAAAAAAAAAA